ATACCAATTCAGAATACATTTTATATTAGCTGCTGCTTTGATTTGTCTGTGCTCTTGTTTAGCTTCTGTTACCATGGATACTTAAGGATGATCCAGATAGAACTTTGCTAGTGCAGTTCGGCGCCTGTAGCACAGTGGTTATGGCGCCAGACAAATACACCAAGGTTGGTGGGTTTGAACCCGGCCCAGGACAGCTAAACAACAATGATAATTGCAACAAAAAATAGCCGGGCATTGTGGTAGGTGCTTGTGGTCCCAGCTATTTGGGAGGCTGAGGCAAGAGAATCGCTTAAGCCCAAGAGTTTGAGGTTGCTGTGAGCTGTGACAGCACAGCACTCTACTGAGGGCGACACAGTGACACTCTGTCTCAAAAAAAGAAAAGAAAAAGAATCTTGCTAGTGGGCCCAAGACCAGTAGCATGAACAACAACTTGTTAGAACTGTTAGAATCTCAGGCCCCATACTGGACTTCCTGAATTAGAATTGCATTTTAACAAGATTCACATGTACTTTTAAGTTAGCAATGCACTTGATCTTGAATACCATGGCACAGCAGGCCCACATTTCTAAAATCTGCATAATGTCTGACATTTCAGCTCCTTAAGTGACTGTATCTGTGTGAGAAGGAATGGTGTCTAATGGCTAAGTTCCAGCACAGTCATTTGGGAGGTTTTACTCTTGACTGTACTTGGCAAATACTGTGGTATGAAAATTCTGCCGTAAGAGGTCCAGATGTAGGAATCAGAGCCCTTAACGTATCCAGAAGCCAGAAGTGACACCTATTATAAAGCAAAACTTGGTTGTTCTCTGTTCTCTCTCCAAGGAAGCAGAGGTTACAGTTCCAGCACCCTTCACAATCCCCTGTGCCCTACACACAGCTGCCTTGTACTCCCACGGCCTTGGCCCTCAATGACGCCACCCCCTAACTTCACACCCTTTCCAGCAGCTGCAGAGGAGTCCCAAATAGAGCTCGGCCAGGAGTTCTTTGGGACATACCCCCAGAAGGGAATGGCACCAGCTGTTCTCACGTTCTAGCCACCCAAGCTGGATCCAGGACACATGGCTGGGAGGAGGTGGCAAAGGATCAGAAGATCCTTTAGAGGGGATCAAGTGCCATACTGGGGCCCTTCACTGATCAAAAAAACAGGCAAGAGTGTTCCTCAGGGTATTTATAATGGATAATGGAACCACGGGTGTACCTTTCCTAACCTAGGCCAGAGGATGAATGGAAAACCTCCACCACAGACCCACAGACCCTTGGCGCCACCCACCCCCTCTCCTTTTCTGCCAGGTGCTGCACTTGAGCCCACTTAAAAGGGAACATGGGGGTGGTGGCGGCTGTGGCTCAAAGGAATAGGGCGCTGGCCCCATATACCAGAGGTGGTGGGTTCAAACCCGACCCCGGCCAAAAACTGCAAAAAAAAAAAAAAAAAAAAAAGGAACATGGGGACTTGGCTAATGGTGGCAGGGCAACAGCAGCATATGGTTGATTCTCAGCCCAGCCTGTGCCAAGATGTCCTAACACAACCTTTCCAAAGCTGGGGGTGAGGGAGTTGGAGGGATAGGTGTTTATCAATACGAGACTGGCTAAATAAAATTATGGTATTATCTATAATAGAAGGCAGTCATAAAAAAATCAGGATGCTCTTCTCTTTACATAATAATATGGAATGATCTGTAAGGCAAATTGTTAAATGAAAAAAACAGGGTGCAGGCAGCATGCATGGTGGACTATATGGGTATTAAAAAAGGGAGGAAAGTAAGAAAAATATATATGTTTGCTTGTTTAAATACAGAATAAGCTTGAAGGATGCATAACGAATGGATAATACTGTTGGCCTGTGAAGGAAAAAGTGGATGGCTCGGAAGAAGAGGGCAAAAAAGACTTCACTGAGGTTTCACCACATTGCTGCCATCTATCCAAAAACCAAATCTGTACAAATGTAAAATGTAATAATAAGGGTGAGTGTGGCTGTAGAATGGTAGGATAGGGGAGCCTTGTGGTGATAAAATAGTTTGCTGTATTTTGATTATTGTGGTGGTCATAGCAATCTGCCAAAACTTGTGATAAAACTGGATATATCCACAGACACATGCATACGTGAGTGTATGTAAAACTGGTATAATCCAAATTAAGTACTGTGAATTGTACTAATGCTAACTTCCTGGCTTTGATATTATACTATAGTTATGTAAGATGTTACCACTGGGGAAAATTAAGTGAAGAGTATGTGGCATCCTAGCACTCTGGGAGGCTGAGGTGGGTGGATCGCCTGAGCTCAGGAGTTTGAGACTCGCCTGAGAAAGACTGAGATCCTGTCTCTAAAAACAGCTGAGTGTTGTGGCAGGAGCCTGCAGTCCCAGCTACTTGGGAGGCTGAGGCAAGAGGATCTCTTCAGCCTAAGAGTTTGAGGTTGCTGTGAGCTATGATGCCACAGCACTCTATTGAGGGTGACAAAGTAAGACTCTGTCTCAAACATTTTTTTGAACTTTTTGTGAAGCTATAATTATTTCAAAATTAAGTGGGTTTTTTTATTTTTTGACACAGAGCCTCAAGCTGTCCCCCTGGCTAGAGTGCTGTGGCATCACAGCTCACAGCAACCTCCAACTCCTGGGCTCAAGGGAGTCTCCTGCCTTCGCCTCCTAAGTAGCTGCGATCACAGGCGCCCGCCACAACGCCTGGCTATGTTTTTTTTTTTTGGTTGCAGCCATCATTGTTGTTTGGCGGGCCCAGGCTGGATTCAAACCCACTACCTTAGGTGTATGTGGCTGGCACCTTAGCCACTTGAGCCACAGGCACCGAGCCCAAAATAAAGTTTTAAAAATGTAGTAATACACATTCAAGAAGGGAGAAAGTGTCACAGTATTATAGAATGGCAAGGCTGGATGGGATTCTACAGATTATCTAGTGCACTGGTTTAGGTAAATTTCTAAGCTGTGGAACTCTTTATTCAAATGAGATTTCCTGAGGAAGTCTGGCATGCAAAACAGAGCCTAGGGAGCTCTGTGGCCAGGCCAGTGGGAGTGGCACCCAAGGCCCACCTGCTCAGTATCCTACAACCACCTGCCTGAAAACCACTACTTCTGGTTCATTTCCTCTCAATTTATAAATGTATTGCCAAGGCTCAGTAAAGTGTTAATGACTGGGTCATAGTCACACAGCATGTTAGTGACCCCTAGAGCCACAGATTCTTCTCCTAAGCCCCTGTCCAGTGTTTATCGGGAGCATGATGCACAGAAAAAGGTGGCAGAGCATCTGACGGGCCAAGCCTTGCCCCTCCCTGCAGGGCATCTCAGCCCTACCTGCTCCTGCCCGTCCGTACCTGGAGCAGTGCAGCTGTCATGTAGAAGATGATGAAGATGAGTGTGAGGGTGGTGTGCCCACCCTGCATACAGCTGATGGTGTAGAGGAACACCAGGTGTCCTGGGACCACAAGGAGGAAGAGGACCCGGGCAGAGCGAGAGTTCACATCTGGGATGAGAGAAGAGACAGC